GGAAATAACTTTTACGCGAAAAACACGTAAACCTACATACATACGATTTTCTTTTTCATATAAATTTCAATACGATTTTTCACGCGAGTTTTTTTTTTTTTTTTTTTTTTTTTTTTTTTTTTAACACGATAGTACATCGCACGTATGGTGATTGTTCGCCCGCAGGTGAAATCTTTTTCCGGAGGAATTGCCGACCTTTGCGAAGATCTCTCGCACAATTGCTGACGGTGGCGCATTATTCAAAAGTAGGATTAAGTACAAGTGGCACTATGTTCTTAAGCTGAACGCCGTACGTGCTTCGCGCGTTGGTGCGTATATGCCGCGGACTTCCCCAACAATCACAGTGTGTCAGTACGATAACGCTCGCGCGCACGTTTGAAATCCAGTTTAAGCCGAGGAACCATAATATACTTGTTGTAACTATATGCCGTTGCACGATGCCTTGGTCCTCGTTCATTCTTCTCTCACTGTATAAGCACGCCCCATCGTCTGTACAGCACGTACCACGGCATCGTCTGATTTCCATAAAATTATTGCAGGTACCTTACACCGCTCTCTCTCTCTGTGTAACTCGTCTGCGCGCGTGCACCCGCCCGCGCCTCACAATGTTGTTATATTTTAGTCAACATTTTTAACCCCCAGGCCACAGGCGAAATTTCATAATACGAAATCTAAAAGCAATCTAAAAGCTATTCGGAAGTCGAAAAAATTTGAACGACAAGTGCGCGCGCGCGAGACAAAAAACTAGATTTTACTCATCCCGGAGATTGATTACACCTGCGCGGGAACACAGTATGGAAATTTGTGACAAATGACGTGATTATCGGAAAAACGATTTCCAGTATTATTTTTAGTCGTTTAATTCGAATTAAAAGGAAGAAAATATGACAGTTTCAAAGCTTTATCGCGTGCCGTCATTTATGATGCAAATATTTACGACGAATTGCCAGAGAGTCGAAGTCAATTTTGCAAAATAACGTGTCAGGTTTTATATCGCTGAGCGATATAATTGACTGTATATTTATCTTATTAGGTTTGAAATAATTTCAATTCTACACGCGAGGACTAGGTAACGTGAAACAAATAGCAAACGCGCGCGTCACGTCTTCGAACGCGTTTCTCCGAGCAAAACACTTTCCGAACTATACTTGAAGTTACATATAGCGGCAATCGTTTTAATTGATCAAGATTTGCACATATCGCTGTACACACGACGGCATAGCCATAGCGCTCAAAGTCTTTAATTCGACGTCGTGTATGCCGCGGGCGGAGAAGCGGCTAAGTTTAAATTAGTTCCGAAACATTCGGTGCACGCTCCGATGGTTAATGGTTCTACCATAAGATCAATAGGATCGGCGGTGGCGGCTGCGGCTGCGGCGGTGACGTTGCGACGAGAGGAAGCGCGGGCTGTGCAGCGCGCCGCGCCGCGCTGCGCTGCGCTGCGATGCCGACGCTGCGCTGTCGCGCTTCGCCGCGGGGCATCCAGCTGCGAAACGCGCGCGTAGCCGCTTGACCGGATACCCCCACTGTCGTCGCCACCGCCGGTTTGCTTCTGTTACATGCTCGATATACCTGTTCTCTCCTCGCGAGCTCGGTCGCGCACGGCCAGAAAGGAAAAACGTATACACGAAGTCATAATTTCCACCTTGGACGATAAGACGCGCCTTGCCTCGATGTACGCGTTCGATCTTGCTGCGGCATTCGCGTGTAAATAATCCGACGTGTCTTTAAGGGATTCGATTAGGGACGCGCGGCGCGCGCGCGCGCGGTATCTCTCTTGGTATTAGAAATAGATTATCGCTCTGACGAATTTTTATTGCGATAACAGGTGACACGAAAAACGCGCGCGATTGCGTAAGAGCGGGAAGGCAATTCGGCGTTCCGGATATTATTGATTTCGTATCTTTCTATATTCCGGACGAACGATATTTACGTGCGCGCTTAAATGGATTTTAATCGATGAAGCGATCACGCTTACGGCGAAAGTGGTCCGGCTTTAACGAAGTATTAAACGTCAAAGGTTTCGATCAGATGCGGGCGCGATTCTGTTTTTTTTTTTTTTTTTTTTTTTTTTTTTTTTTTTTTTTCCGAACAAAAAGATCGTATCTCTCTCTGGTCGACGAGCATGAGTTATGCCTATTAATAAAAAGTTGCGCGTAAACCTGAACTTT